GATATGATAAGCTGCTGCTTTATTAATGTCGCCACCTCTCACCTGTCCTCTCATGAGGCACAGCACGGCTAAATGAGTTCTGACCCGTGGTTTGTTTCAGGGAAGGAGACTGAGGTCTGTTGGACCTGCAGCCTCACACACGCTCTTACTCCACTCGGCTGTTTTGAAATGATGACAAAGATTCAGAATTTCTACCTTTTGTTGGGACTGTTTTCAGCGTTGTCTACAGAAATCATCTTTCTGCCTCTCACCTGACAATTTAAATCCAAGCCATCTCTGAAAGAACAGTCATTGTTTCTCATTTTGTTCAGCAGCTAAGCTGCTCCATGTTTACTTGTGCTAAACGTCTCCTCAACCTCCTTCCTGAGGGGAGCGGGGCAAAAAGTGTGTGTGCTGGGTGAGTGGGGTCCTTCATGATGCAGGTGGCCCTCTTCCTGCATCTGGAGGTGTAGATGTCTGTGATGGTGGGGAGACTGACTCCAACATCTTCTGTGCAGCCTTCACCACTCTCTGCAAAGCTTTTCTTTCTGCAGCTGTGCAGCCTCCATGCCACACGTTGATGCTCGAGCACAGGATGCTCTCCACTGCACACCTGTAGAAGGAGGTGAGGACTGAGCTTCCAGACCAGCTCGTCTCAGCCGTCTGAGGAAGTAGAGTCTCTGATGATCTTTCTTCATCAGGCTGGTGGTGTTGTTGCTCCAGCTGAGGTTGTTGTTCAGGTGCACACCCAAGTACTTGTAGCTGGAGACCACTTCCACCTCAGATCCTCTTATGTTCAGGGGGGTGTAGATGTTCCTTCTGAAGTCCACAATCATCTCCTTCATCTTCTTCACATTGATGTGAAGGTTGTTCTCTCTGCACCAGCTCTCCAGGTGTTCCACCTCTTGCCTGTAGCTGGACTCATCATTGTTTGTGATGCATCCCACCACCGCTGTATCATCTGCAAACTTTACAATGTGACAGCCTGGATGGGTAGCTGCACAATCATATGTGAGCAGAGTAAACAGGAGGGGGCTCAACACACATCCCTGAGGAGAGCCAGTGCTGAGGG